TGTCTCTGGCCAGGCTGTCTTGTCTTCTCCTCCACACTCACCCTCTCCACCCACGTTCCTGAAGAAGTGTCCCTAGACAACACAAAGATCCTTTGCCTATGAAGCTTCAAACCTCTTCCTAGTTCACACCTTGCCCCCAGCCCAAACATAAGGCTCCCACTCATTTAAGGGTTCCGGCCTCAAGGCCCACCAGATCCATAGCCACATGCAAAGGTGGTCACACAGTGGGCAGGCCCTCACCAGTGCAGGAAGGAAGACTGCACCCACCTGGGGGCATTTGTGCTGACTCACCCAGTGTCCACTCCCCCACACCGGACACAGGAAGGACAAAATTCTTTCCATTACAAAGACTCGATTCAAAACCTCAAACCATAAGGGCCATCTTCGACCTCTACTTCCTGTCTGACCTACAAACACAAGAAGTAGCTTTCAATTGCTTGATCTCTGATATGGCACTCTAGGATAAGCACTGGACTGGTAACCAAAAAGTCAGCAGTTCAAACCCACCAGCCACTCTCAGAAACCCTATCCAGGGTCATTACTGACTCAACAGCACACAACAACAAATCAAGACCTTGCCCATGGATTTTTTCCTGTGGAAACATCTTCACCATGTTGCCTTCTAGACTCCCTCCCTGAAACTTCCCTCTGACCACTCATTGGCTCCTCTAGCTCCTGGACTTACCTCTTTCAAGAGATTTCCACCTTAACATAGTAATTCCCAATTTATCTGATTATTTAACCCCAAAAGATTGTAAGTTCCTTGAGAGTCAAGATCCTTGTTTTATTCAAAGTTATAAAGGCATGTACCTGACTCATGGAAGGTGTTCACTCATTATGTATTGAGATGGAAAGAAATGATAACCATATTACACAAACAATAAGAAAAACAAAGACAAGAAGTTGCAGGTTGGTTTCATCAGTCTGTGTTTTAACAAGACCCCCAAGTGACTCTGATGTACACTCTAATTTGAGAACCACTTCCTTAGCCTAGACCTAGAGTCAAGCTTTGACCATAATATTCACCAATGTGAATATTAAACATGAGAGGAGAGTTGCACACTCGTCTCAATATTTTCAGCTAACCATATACTTTTTCATTCTCATCCCCCTATCTTCTTACAGCTGCTGTTATAGATCAGCAGCAGGCACAACAGAAAAAGTTTTGTTTAGCTCCATTAAATTGAGAAAAAAAAATACTATACATTATAGAAGGTTCAAGCTCACTAGCTGCTCCTTAGAAGCCCAATACAGAATCACTATGGGTCAGAATCAACTGCACAGTAACAACAAAATAGATTATAAAACAAAAAAAAAAACCTCTTCAAGTGATAAGATTAATATTCAGCAGAGTCAGGCAGGAATCACCAAGAAAGATTCTTTCATTATAACACAAAGTCACTGAGACACTGAGTAAAATAAAGCACAAGTAAAAGAAATCACATAGTTTGGGTGTCAGAGGTGTGAACGCCTCTTCCCCTTCACACAGGTGCTGGCTAATCTAGTAAATAACCATCCTGGATCCTAAAGATTTGTGTTCCTAAAAATTCTGGATTAACCATTTAGGATAATTTAGAACGATAGCCTTCCCAACTGTATTGGAGAAGCAGGGGAGATTTTTGTTTTTGTTTTAAAGGTTGTTGTTGTTGTGAGTTGCTGTCAAGTCAGTTCCGACCCATAGCGACTCTGTATAGGGTTTCCAAGGAGCAGCTGGTGAGCCTAAACTGCCAACCTTGCAGTTCAAATGGCTTTACAGTCTGGCACATTAACCTACAGCACCACACTAGGACTCTTTAAGGTTTGTTGTTGTTGTTAGGTGCCATCAAGTCGATACCAACTCATAGCAACCTTATGCAGAGCAGAACGAAACACTGCCAGATCCTGAGCCAACTTCACTACTTTTGCCACACTTGAGCCCATTGATGCTGCCACTTGGCCAATCCATCTCGCTGGGGATCTTCCTCTTTTTCTCTGACCCTCTACCTTACCAAACATGATATCCTTCTCCAGCGACTGGTCCCTCCTGACAATATGTCCGAAGCATGAAAGACGAAGTTTGGCCATCTTGGCCTGTAAGGAGCACTCTGTTTGTACTTCTTCCAAAACAGATCTATTGGTTCTTTTAAAGGTAGAGTTACCCAATTATTTCCTATTGTTGTTGTGTGTGTGTTTAACTACTACCTTTTTAGTGGTGAAGACTCCTCAATCCCCATAGGAAGTCTTGCTTCCACTTACAGAGGGCCTAACCCAAACATGTAAACCTCAGTGGACTAGGTAAGTAACAAAAGTTTTGACAAATGGAGACAGAGCTTTACTGCTCAGTCCTGTTTGTGTTTGGATGGCTGCTTGCTCCCCCTTGTGTTCAGTGCCTAGACCCAAGAGAGCAGAAAAGCAAGAAGATGGAATGAGGGATCAAATGGCTACTGTGGATGCCCATGGCAGGCTGCTGGGGCCAGAGAAAAGCCAGTGGGATAGGCTCTGGAGTCGGCACAGCTCTGCAGTCCATGTGGGCAATGCTAAAAGTCTCTCTGGATGACTTCCCAGTTCTGGTGCCTTTGGAATTCACTCTTTGGGACAATGTGCCTGGAATGCAGACAGGTGGAAGCTGTGCCCAAGCTCAGCCAACTGCCACCATCAGGAGGTGGCCCACAGCGCTCCTCCTGCTCAGGGTTTGACTAGGGACTGGGCTTTTCCTCCTGACTTATGGCTCAAGCCACAGTCTTCTAATTTGTTTTGTGTTGTTTTAAGGGAAATTGAGTGTTCTGCTGAAGACAGTTTGGGCCCCTGAGGAGATATTACAAGGCAGTTCTGAATGTGCTAAGTCAGTGGGTGATAATGGGCACTGTGTGCCCAGCAAAGGTACTTCCCACCCCCTGCATAAATAATCCTTCACTGGTTTATACAAAAGCCCAGCAATTGGACTGTCCTCTCCTGCCCGCTCCCAGGACAGCATCATCTCACCACCCGACAGATCACCAAATCACTGTCCTCCTCTCCTGCCAGCTCCCAGGACAGCATCATCTCACCATCCCTGCCAGATCACCAAATCACTGTCCTCCTCTCCTGCCAGCTCCCAGGATGGCATCATCTCACCATCCCTGCCCGATCACCAAATCACATCTCTTTATGCTATGGCCATGGCACCTTCAGGGCCAGTCTCAGGTCCCGAGGCCAGTGCTGGCCATCCAACTGGACCCCCTCGGGAAGCAGCACTGATTGGAGCCTTAAGTCCTCCTTATATAAACTTGGTCCTGTAAGTCATACAAATCAAATCAATAAAACTCTCCAAACCCCAGTCTCCTCATCCGCACAGTCGCCATTTCAGTCCTGAAGATACCCCAACATGAATCTAGGGAGTTTATCAAGCTGATTAGGCTGATAAAGCTATACAAATACCTTCTTGCCTCCAAGTCTTCACACATGCTGTTTCCATTGTCTGGAACACTTTTCTCCCTTCTCAGCTTAGCCTTTTCCAGGAACCCTTCTATGGCCCCATGAGCCTGAGCTAAGACCCCTCCACTGTTGGCCTGTTCTCTGCACTTCTGTGGTCCTGGTAATGATGGTGCAGTATTGTAAATGCTGTTCTCAGGTTTGTGCCCCTACTACAAACCTTGTAGTAGAGGAGCTCTGGTAGTGTAGTGGTTATGATTTGGGCTGCGAACCGCATGGTCAGCAGTTCGAAACTACCAGCTGTTCCGCAGGAGAAAGATGAGGCTTTCTGCTCCTGTAAAGATTTACAGCCTCAGAAACTGTGTACAGGGTCACTATGAGTTGGAACTGACTCCACGGCACATAACCACCACACAAACCTTGTGGGGAAAGAGCAGAGACCACCACGGCATGATTCACCTCAGTATGTACAATAGCTATGTGTTTGAATAAGCTCATGGGCTCTGAATGAAATACCCAAGGCAGACTGAATCAGAAAGGTGGCAAAGGCAATAGATGTACTTACCTACCCATGGCATCTAACCACCACTACCACCACCCATGGCATATACAGGTTCTGCAGCCTGGCCAGGCCAATCCTGAGACCATGAGTGTGTGTGTGTGTGCTAGTGAGGCCTCAGCCAGTCATTTTCAGATCCCTGGACTATTTAGGTCCTTGAGTGGCCAAAGAATTTGCACCTGAATACCAGCCGCTCCTCACAAACCCTATACAGGGTTGATATAGGTGGGAACCAACTCACAGTACTTAGCAACAATAGCTAAGGTTGGCAGTTTGAACTTATTCAGTGAGTCATGGGAGAAAGGCTTGGTGGTCTCTGTCCATAAAGTTGACAGCTGTTCGGCATTTCTACTCTGTAACACATGGGTCATCGGGACTCAAAATGGAATCGAATCACCTTGGCTGCAAAGGGTTTGGGGGTTCGGGACTGCTTGTTAAAGAGAGAAGAAACCTTGGGGGTTGTGCCACTTTGGAGCCCACAGGCAGAGTTCTGGGCCCTACTCCGCCTCACCTCAACCAAAGAAGCTCTGCTTTTATGAGTCTGTGTTCTCAATGAAATTTTGTTTTAAAAACCTTGTTCTATGGAGAAAAATGAGAGTGAGAAAGACATTTGAAAATCACTTTTATTTTACAGATGAGAAACAAAAATACCCAGAGAGGAGAGGGAACCTTTCTGAGGTCACACAACTGAGTATCAGTGTGTGAACATCTGGACCCCTGAGTTTTTACAGTTGTTCATTTCAGAGGGAGGGAAGGGTAGGGTGGAGAGAAAAGCTGAGGGTCTGAGAAAAGACTGAGCCAGTCCAATGGATCCCCAGATCATGAAATCCTCCTCTGTAATCATCAGCTGCACCCCGAACTTCCCCCACCTCCCTTCGTCCGCCTGTGGAAGCCCTCCTGGGAGGTGGGACACAGGAGAAGGTGGTGGTAGAAACTCGAGTTCCTGACCACGGCAGCACACGTTCTTAGGCACCTGCACTCACGGCTTATTCCTGCCCAACCTTCCCACCTGGTCCTAACCAACTTCTCCCTGGGGCTGTTGTCTCCACAGGTCATGGAGGGCTGAACCAGCTGGGAGGGGCTTTTGTGAATGGCCGACCCCTGCCAGAAGTGGTGCGCCAACGGATTGTAGACCTGGCCCACCAGGGTGTACGGCCCTGTGACATTTCCCGGCAACTCCGTGTCAGCCATGGCTGTGTCAGCAAGATCCTTGGGAGGTAAGCACGAAATTCATCCAAGTGCCACCTTCCCTCAGAGCTTTCTTTCTGCAGCCCACCCTACAAGCTGACTTTTCTCCCTGGAACTGGTGGTCAGTTCCCTGAGGTGTGGCTCTGGTGCGGGATGTTCTGATGGTTGGGTCTCATGTTTTCTCAGCCATTTCCATCCCTCCCACCCACCCCCTCCTGCTGCCCTTCTAAATTTTTTTGTCTTACCCTTCTTCCCATTTCTCTCTCCTTTAGTTTCTCCATCTTCCCTTTCCTCCTTCATTCTATTTCTCATTTTCTACGGGCTCCATTCTGAAGCAGGAATAGCTTATCTTCTGTATCCCAAGTACCCTCCCCATGCTGACCCCTAGGGAAGTGGACCTACCATGGAAGAGCACGCCATCAGGCCTACCCCCTACAAGGAGCTCTCCGTGTATGCTTTTCAAGCCATCATTTTCAGAGTTCCTACAAAAAACTCATTGGCGCTGCTTGATCAAATGTAGTTTCCTAGGTCTCAGATCAGGCCTACTGAATTGGCCTTGCTAGAAGGCAGACCTGGATGCTGTATTTTTTATGGAATAACCAGGTGATGCTTACAAACAGTAAGGACTGAGAACCACTGTGCTACAAGGCCCCAGAAGGATTCATAATTCTTCCTGTACAATGTACTCACTTGGAAAGCCTTAATTAAAATGGAAAAAAAAAAAAAAATGTCTAGACCCAACTGTACACCATTAAATTGGAACTTCAGGGAAATGGGCACAAACATTAGCATGTTTTTTAAAGAGGTGCTGTGGTTTGATAAGGCAAAGGGGTCTGAACTGTAACTTATTCGCAGACAGCTCTGCTGCTTGACTGAAGTTGTAAGGGAAAGGTATGATCCTTTGCTGGGGTTGGGAGAGGGGATTCCTGGGATTGGCAGTGGTGTTCCCAAAGAGGAGCTGAGCCCTGGATGGCAGTGACAAGTGAATGGAATTTTAAAGGGCCAGATTTTTACCTTGTGGCAAAAGAGACTACAGAGTCTGCACAACAAGAAAGGGAGGGTATCCTGACATAGACCTTTGATCTATCAAAACAACTACTAGTTAGTCCAGGTAGGAAGCTGAAGGGACCACGTACAAACCTTGGAAAATGAGACTCAATCCAAGGAATTGGACCTGGACAGGGATGAAAGCCAGGTTGGGATTCCAGAGTCCATGACAAGAGCAGCTCCAGCTGGAACCAAGCAACCTGATAGAAAAGAGTCTTATGTTGACAGTGACAGGGTAGGGATGAGGCCTGTGGCTCAGATTTTGAAAAGGAACCAGAAAGACAGGCAGAGGGCCCAGTGACCCCAGCTTAGTTCCCTAGGTAGGTGTAAAACCAGGTTGGTCAAGAAGAATAGAAGGTAAAGTTTTAGCCATGAATTGATAGAAGAAGTCACTGAGAACCTGTAAGTCACACAAAACACACATGACAAAATTTCTTTTCTTTGCAGAAAATCTTTTTTTTCTGTATGTGGCCCATAAGATGGCTTCTGCAGGTGTTCTGCCTCAGGATATTGGCTAGGGAGAAGGGAAGGAATAAAGTCAGGCATCCTAGGGTGAGATGTTTAGCAGAAGGTTCTCACTGAACAACAGCATAAACCTACAGAAACAAGGAAAACAGACAATCCTGGAACCCCAGGTGTTTGAGGCAAGATGACTCAGGGGAATGTGAGGCTCAGAGCTAATCCCATTCCAAAGACCCTACCTGCTTATTGGGTAATTTGGGGGGGTTCTCTATTGGAGTAGGTACTACGAGACTGGCAGCATCCGGCCTGGAGTGATAGGGGGTTCCAAGCCCAAGGTGGCCACTCCCAAGGTGGTGGAGAAGATTGGGGACTACAAGCGGCAGAACCCTACCATGTTTGCCTGGGAAATCCGAGACCGGCTCCTGGCTGAAGGCGTCTGTGACAATGACACTGTGCCCAGCGTCAGCTCTATCAACAGGTGAGAGAGAGACAGTAACCTTTGGGATTAGAGTGAGAATCACTGGGCTTCAGGGGTATGGTTAAAAGGACCAGCTTAGGTGGAGTGGACATTGCAAAGGGGACTTGTGTTGAAGAACCAGGCAGGCAGCACCCCTGGCCCAGGGCAGGCAGGCATATTATCACTCTGCTTTCTCACCTGTTCCATTCTGTGGACATCCCCCAGGGCATCCTTCCCTCCCACTGGAATGCTATAAGCAATCTCCTTCCTCACATACCAATTCGTCCTTCATTCAGTAAAAATCTTCTTGAGTTGATCATTTCCTTAGCCATAGACCCCTAATCTGGCCCTCATTCAAGCATTCACACATAGGTTTAGTCATTCAATTATTCATTCCCTACTTCCAACAATCAAGGAGCTCTGGTAGTGTAGTGGTTATGAATCAGGCTGCTATCCTCAGGGTTAGCAGTTTGAACTACCAGCTGTTCTGCAGGAGAAAGATGAGTCTTTCTGCTCCCGTAAAGATTTACAGCTTCAGAAACCCTGTACAGGGTCGCTATGAGTCGGAACCAACTCCATGGCACATAACAACAACAACTTCTAGCAGTCATTTCATTCACTCATTCTTTCACCATTCATACATTCACACACAATTCACTCATTATGCACATGAGCTTACAGTCTAATGGGCAAGCAGATACTAATCAAGCAACTGCATAAACAATTGTAAAAGTTCAACTCTGTCTTGTAGAAGAGGCACCTGAGGGCCTGTGATTTGGTTTAAGTAGATTGTGAAAGGCCTCTCCTTGAGGAAGAAACAGTGAGCCTGAGTTAGCTGGGTAAAAGGGAAGGGAAAGAGCTTTGAGTACAAGAAATGGCAAGTACAAAAGTCCTGTGGCTAGCAGGATTGTATGCAAAAAGATGAAAGAAGGCTGGAGACCCAGCAGAGACTGCCGTCAGGGGCTGGGAGTATTAGCGCATATTCTGGCCTTTGGAAGTCTTTGACAAAGGCTGACTGACTTGCATTTCAGAAAGCCCACTCTGGCTCCTGTCTGGAGACTAGATTAGAAAGGGATACGTGTGGAAGAGGGTGGACCAGTGAGTGATCCTGGAAAGAAAAAGCCACTGGTGGTATGGACTAGGTTATGGATAGTGAGATGGAGAGGAGGCTAAATGCAGGTGAGACTTAGGTCAGAACCACAGAATCATGAGAAGCTTGATAGGTAAGTGAGGGCCAGGCATATCATCAACCCCACCTGGAGTTCTGCCTTGAGTGCCAATCATGAAATGGGGTCACTCAGATGCAAGTCCCCAGAGTGATTCATAGCTTGGGCTGCACACTGGACTCACTTTGAAAGCCTTAATTAAAATGAAAACAAACAAAAAATAAGTCAATGTCCAGACCCTACCCTATACCATTAAGTTGGAATTTCAGGGGTGAACTTGATATGAGAAATAAGGTCAAGGGTTTAATTGTGGACGGTTTGAGTTTAATCGTAGATGGGTTGAGTTTGAGCTATCTGAATGAGATGTCAAAAAGGCAGTTGGATCTGGGGCAGTCAGGAGTCCAATAAATTTCTTTTTCTCTGTCACAATCTTTTCTTTTCTTCTCCACAGAATCATCCGGACCAAAGTGCAGCAACCATTTAACCTCCCCATGGACAGCTGCGTGGCCACCAAGTCCCTGAGCCCAGGACACACGCTGAGTGAGTGTTGACTACCGCTGTATGCAGACACACATGTACGCATATACTACCTACATATACACAGATGCTCACGCCAACATGCCCACACATACACAACCTAGATGTACACAGAGCAGTTCCGTTGGAACGAAACCTTGCATGGTTCTCAGGAAAGATTCATTTTAGAAATATTTTATTTAGTGATGGAAAAACTTCAGACAGCCTTGATTCCAAGATTCTGTTGCACCAATAGCCCCCTTAAAGGAATGACCTCCGAGTTTCTCAAGGGGTCAATCCTCCATAGGTTGCTTGTTGCCTGCTCCACAGGGGCACCTGGGGCTGTGAGGAAGTTGCTTCCCTCCCAGGGGTTCTGACTCTCTCTCTCTCTCTCTCTCTCTCTCTCTCTCTCTCACACCCCCTGCAGTCCCCAGTTCAGCTGTAACACCCCCAGAGTCACCACAGTCAGATTCCCTGGGCTCCACCTATTCCATCAACGGGCTCCTGGGGATCGCTCAGCCTGGTGGTGACAGCAAGAGAAAAATGGATGACAGTAAGTATTGACAGGGGACAGGATGGGGTGCAAGAGGGCAGGTACTGAAGACAGAAACCCCTCATGACCCAGGACTTTGTTGTGGCTCTGTAACCCCAGCCCTCAGAGTGGTGTGCCCTGTCTCTGAGCCACCCACAGCCTTGGGAGCCTGGGAGCCCGGACCATTCTGCCCCTCCATGCCAGCTCAACTGCTCAAAGTAGGGGAGCAGGGGGATGGTTAGATGGGTCCCACTAAAACCTCTTTCTTGGGACACCAGGTGACCAGGACAGCTGCCGGCTGAGCGCCGACTCCCAGAGCAGCAGCAGTGGGACCCGGAAGCACCTTCGCACGGACACCTTCAGCCAGCACCACCTGGAGCCACTTGAGTGCCCGTTTGAACGACAGCACTACCCGGAGGCCTATGCATCCCCCGGTCACACCAAAGGCGAGCAGGTGAGATGCTGGTCCCTAGGGGAGGAGGGCAGGTCCAGAAGCAATCTGCAGTCCTACCTCAAAGCCAGCCCAGAAATCAGACATGTGCTGCGTGCAGCTCAAAGCCTGATCGTGGACTTTATGTCATCAGATGTTCTGACACCTGCCTCCCTCTTCTCCCAAGACCTCAGAGCCTGCTTCTATTGCTTCCAGGGAGGGCAGCACAGCCTGGTCATGCCATTCTCTTGCCTTCTATGACTCCCCTAGACCACAGGGCCAGGTCCCAGCTCTAGAGCGGCAGCACAAAGCCTTGCTGACCTCAGTCAACAGTTCTCGCCCCACCTCTGGCTGCTCACTCTGCACACCCCATGGTTCTGCATGACTCATGCTCCTGAGCATGCCAGCCTCGTTCACACCTCTCTGCCCTCACCCATGGTGTGTCCTCCTCTCCAAATGCCTTTCCGCCTACTTCGCAGCCTGGAAAAATACCACCTGACCATCATGACTCAGCTCAGACCTCCCATCCCCTGCTCCAGGAATCCTGCCCTGCCCCTCAGACAGAATACAACTCTCCTAATCACAGAATAGGAGTCCTGGTGTGGCGCTGTGGGTTAATGCGACAGACTGCAAAGCCATTTGAACTGCAAGGTTGGCAGTTCAAGCTCACCAGCTGCTCCTCGGAAACTCTATACAGGGTTGCTATGGGTCAGCACCAACTCAGCAACACTTCACAACAACAACAACAACAATCACAGAATAAGGAGCTCTGGTAGCGTAGTGGTTATGATCGGGCTGCTAACCTCATGGTCAGTAGTTCGAAGCTACCAGTGGTTCCACAGGAGAAAGATGAGGCGTTCTGCTCCCATAAAGATTTGCAGCCTCGGAAACCCTATACAGGGTCGCTATGAGTCGGAATCGACTCGATGGCACTTAACAATAATCACAGAATACCCTCTTAATCACTTTTCATGCCTGGGGTCTTGTAATAATCTGGACAGAGGTGTGAAAGAGACCATGAGGTTTTTTAAGACAGGACAACATTTTATACATCTTTAAAAAAAAAATTTCTGGCACCTAACACTGTGCCCAGTTATACTAAACCAAGCTAAAACCATTGCTGTCAAGTTAATACCTACTCATGGTAACCCCGTGTGTGTCAAAAGAGAACTACACCCCACAGGGTTTTCCTGGTTGTGGCCTTTGAGAAGCAGATTGTCAACCCTTCCTTCAGTTAGTAGTCAAGTGCTTAGCCCCCAGTTATAAGGGATACTCAGTAAAGTTTTCTTAAATGAATGAGTTGAGAATTTGGGACAACAAATCGCAAAGTTACAAGGGAATGCTTACTCCCAACATTCAGACAGGTGGAATAGAGGATCGCGAGTGCGTTGCTGTAAGAAGCTGGCAAACCAACAGAAAGGAGATTCAAATCTCAGACCTTCTCTGGCTGCTGGTCTCTTGGTTCATTATTATCAGTCAACAGTCTTAGTTTCCTCCTTCCCCTGGAGGTGAGGAGTTCCTGGAGGGTAGTTTCTGCTCACCCCTGTTTGCTCTCATTTGATCCTGAAGTCAGGTAGACTCATACACCTTTAAGGTCTGAGAAGGACAATAGCAGTGATGCCAACAACTAGCTGAACCACCGCTAGTGACTGGCTGGGCTTCTGGGCCTATGCCAGCACCTGCAGTTGGGCAGGCAACCTGCGTCAGCGATTTTATCAGCCTGGGCTGTGGCAACCATGAGGGGTTGCAGAGAAAGGCGGATGTCAGCAGCCCAGGGTAGAGGGCCTGGGTTTTCAGACAGCCAGAGGTCAGATGGCTCCAGGAGGGGAATGAGAAGCGGCTGCAGGGAATCATGGTGTGAGAATTAGCTGCAAAGCCAAGTGGGGAACACCAGCTCTCCTGGCTAAACCCCACTGCCATTGAGTCCATTCCGATTTCTGGCAACCCTATATACATTTTCTGAGACTGTACATCTGTACAGAAACAGACAGCTTCATCTTGCTCCCGCAGAGCAAGAGGTGGGCTTGAACCGCCAACCTTGTGATTAGGAGGCCAATGCCTAACCTACAGCAGCACCCAAAAACCCTACCATAGAGTCCCTGGACACTACTGTGTCACAGAGCAACTTCCCCCACCCCATTCCTGAGCTCCCCAGGAGATGCTGAGTGACTACAAGGAGTCCCGCAGCATGCTGGCAAATGCACATGGGAAATCTTGGAAGGAAAGCATCTTAGAGCTGGAAGGGACTTCAGTGACCATTTAGCGCAGTTTCCCAGTTGTGTGGGGAGAAGAACCTAAGATCAGGGAGATGGGGAAAAGACTAAGGGGAAGCAAATGGTTATGGCGTTCAGGCCTGCCAGCCCTGGTTTCATTCAAACAGTGCACTGTAATTTCATTTGATATATTATGCGTCTATGTAAATTCTCTGAAGATTATACAAAAAAGGTTTGAAAACCATTGAAGTGCTCTAAGCCCTCAACCTACAGATCAGGAGACTGCGGCCCAGCATGTTAATCATTGTTCTTGGTTGTTGTTAGTTGTCACTGAATCGATTTTGACTCATAGCAGCCTCACAGCAGAGCTGTTCTATGGGGGTTTCTTGGCTGTAACCTTTATGGAAGCAGCTTGCCAAGTCTTTCTTCTGTGGTGTCACTGGATGGATTTGAATTACCAACCTTTAGGCTAATGGTTGAGCACAAACTGTGTGCAACATCTAGGAACTTTCCATGAATTATTCACTCATTTCCTCAGTCAATCATTACCTATTCATTCATTCACCTGGTGTGGTGTGAGGGGAGGGGAGAACCAAGCCTGTGCCCAGGGTCCCTCTCTTCCACAGCTAGTAGTCACTGTAACTTTGTTGCATTTCTTGTTTTCTCTCATTTGGGAAGCCAAGAGAAAAGCACAAGTACTCATACCTCTCTTTGGATGGGGCAAAGACATAGTCCAACACAAACATCAGAGGGTCTCATTTTCCTGGTTGCCATTTCACTACCAGGCTTAGTTCAGAGTCTACACAGTTCTTGTCTTTCGATTTTATAAGTGCATGGAGAACCAGATCAACAATATGGGAATATTCTGATGACAGAGTCCAAGAATTTGGCAGCTTCTGACTCTTCACAATAAATAGTTGTTGTATGTCCTGAAAAAGTAAAACATACAACTATTTATTGAACATCTATTATTACCAAGTATTTTGTGGTAAGCCCTTTAGATTCATGTATAAAACTCAGTCAGTCATGTGAGTTCGGTGCAAAATCATCCAAGTTTTTTACTATTTAGGTTGTTTTGTTTTTACTCAATTGTTTGAATTTTGGGACAGCTGTAGGATTTTAATTAGATGTTTTGGTACCAAATCAAGACATTCATACAGTATTTGCGACTTTTCTTGCACTCTCTCGAAATTAGGTACTTTGTTCAATTCTATTAAGCTGGACTCTGAGTAACTCCACCCTGCCTCAAAGTGGGCCTCCTTGGAAGGCGCAGAACCAGGGCCCCATTCAGCCAGTAATTGCTGTACTGTGCTAATGGGGCCCTGGTGACCTGCAGAGTTGACTGAAACTTCCAAAAGTGTCTAACATGCAACCAGAAAATCCTGTGGCTCCTTAGAGGAACATGACTCCATGGAAATCATGAAAAACGATTATCTTCAGTAGAGCTGTTGTGTAATCATGGAGCATTTCTTGATTCTAGTTTTGCATAGTGTATTTGTGGTGTGTGTAGCCTATGTCTGGGGAAGGGGCATGTGCTTGTATGTGCTGTCTGGTCCTGTGGTTGGAGGAGTCCTGATGAGGGTGGTATGTGTTTATCTTTAGTGGAAAATGTTCTTTTTGGAAAGAGCATCTTAGGAGATGACTGTGATAATGTTAAAAGGAGGCAAATAGGAATATAAAATGAGGTCTTCTTGAAGAAGCTCCCAGGAATTTGATAAAGACCCATTCAAGTAAAAGTATCCCCCAAATATCATCCTCAAGCCAAACCTGAAAGTTTTTTTGCTTGAATATGAAGAAAGAGAAAAAGAAAAAGAAATCCATCTATTCTCATGGATACTACCTTTGCCATGATGTTGAAGTGATGAGCATAATTTCTGGCTTTTAGTCCCAGCTTTACCATATGGATCTGGAACATTTATGCCTCCAGGCTTCAGGCTTTCTATATATAAAACAGACATGGCTCAATCTGTCCACATCACAGAACTATTGAGAGGAGGCATCAGTTATGATACCATAGGCAACGCTCTTTGCAGATATAAGAGATGGTTATTGTGTTTTACAGTTTAGGGAGTGGTCAAGAGTATGGACACTGGAGGCACACTGCCTGGGTTTGAATTCTGGCAGCCCCATATGGAAGTATAATAAATTTTTGAACCTCTCTGTGCCTCTGAGGAGTGCTGGTGGGTTTGAACTGACAACCTTACAGTTAGCCCTTTCTGGAGAGGATTACATTAATTGATGCTAGTGAAGCACTCTAAACAATACTGTGAGCTGAAAACCCAAGCCTTTGGCATCTTCTTATACTCCATGAGGTCAAACAGTACGAGGAAACAAGGAAAAGAGACCAGTGTTCCCAGCAGGGATTACTCCTTTGAAGGAGATGCTCTATGCATTACCTGACTTGCTTTCTACAAGTGGTCCTGAACTTTAGGGACTGGGAGATGAACAGAGGAGCTGTCATCTGGAGAAGTGCAGTCAAGACAGAAAGAAAGGAAGAGGACAATGAGGAAAGGAGTTTTTCCTGGGAGATTAAGGCTGCCAAATTCTCCAGATTGGCTGCAGGTCTCTGGAAAGGCTTATTTGCCCAGGGGCATGAAGCCAGGGACCTGCTGGGTCACTCTGGATGCTGACTTTTCTTTCTTCTCCAGGGCCTCTACCCGCTGCCCTTGCTCAATAGCACCCTGGATGATGGAAAGGCTACCCTGACCCCTTCCAATACACCCTTGGGGCGCAACCTCTCGGCTCACCAGACGTATTCCGTGGTGGCAGGTATGAAGCCCAGAATCTTCTGGGTCGTCTGGGCCCAGCTGCAAGAGTGGGTTGGAGGGCAGGGGAAGGCAGAGCTTGGCTGGCTGTGAGGAGGAAGGCGTATGGGGCCTGGGCTTGTGAGGAGACGTGGGCTATGCTGGCTGGGCCTTAAGGTGGGTTGCAGTGAGGCAAGCAGTCATTGCATCCACACAGTAGAAGGCACGGCAGGGAGGTAAAACTTGACTCTCCCCTCCTCACTCAACCTGAGGAACACCTTCTGGTCCCTCCTTCCATCCCCCCAGACTCAGAGAGGAGCCCAGGTCTGCCTGCCCCCGAGCCCCACCTGCCGCACCCCTCCCCACATCTCATGGCTTGGTTTGTGCATGTTCCCACCCCATCATCTCACATCCCTCTCTCCTTGTTGTCTCCCTCCCTCCGGCAGATCCTCATTCACCCTTCGCCATAAAGCAGGAAACCCCAGAGGTGTCCAGTTCTAGCTCCACCCCTTCCTCTTTATCTAGCTCCGCATTTTTGGATCTGCAGCAAGTCGGCTCCGGGGTCCCAGCGGGTGCCTCGGTTCCGCCCTTCAATGCCTTTCCCCATGCTGCCTCCGTGTACGGGCAGTTCACGGGCCAGGCCCTCCTCTCAGGTATGACAGGGAGGTTCCTGGGCCATGCAGGTGTCGTGGGGGGCGGGAGGGGGTTCCTCATGGCCAGCCACCTGTCCCCCATGGTTTGACTCCAGCCAGTTATGGTCTCCAGGTACGTTCATCTTCATCCCATTCCCTAATTCCTCAGGCAGCGTTCGGAGGTGGCAAATCGTGTTTCTCCATCCTGACTAAGTCAGGCCTCGGGAAGGGTCAGGAACTCTGGAATACCAGAAAAGAGGGTGCCTGGCAAATGTCCAGAATCCTGCCCCCAAACCTGGTGGAAATGTGAGGACCCTGAGGCCAGGGGTCAGGTGCTATAACATGATGAGCTCTAGATCTAGGTAAAAGGAAAACCAGAAAATTTTGAAGGGAAAAAGCCTTTGGTGTTTTGGAACCAATTTCTGGACCAAATTTCTAAAGAAAGCAGAAGGTCAGTCCAAATCGAGTCCCCTTAAAATAGCTTTCTTTATACCCATTTTAACAGTGTTAAAATAAAGGACACAAAGAATTTTTTTCAACAGGATCAACTCTGTAACTCCACAACTTGGGAGGTGGGGCTAGAGACCTCACCATCAAGAATCTCATTGGTCTTCAGAAAAGTTAAAGTTAGAAAAACCTTAAGGCCATCTGAAGCAAATCCTCTCCTGGGAAGACGAGGACGTAGGTCCAGGGAGGGAAAGGACCTGGCAAAGGCTCCTGAATAGGAGGCTAGGCCTGAGCTGTGTGGGTCAGACCCCTACTGAGTCAGCCAGGGCCTGAGGAATGGCTGACAGAGCTGAATGTGTTTGTAGTGCTAGAGAACACCTGAACTGGAGTGCAGGCTGAGGCAGAGACCCATAACAGTCTTCAGATACCTGAAGGCTTCCACAGGGATGAGACTGTTTTGGATGATGGCCCAAAGCATTGAACCAGGACCAAGGAGGAATCCAAAGGTGTGGCAGATTCCAATTCAGTGTAAGGGAAAATTGTCTTAACAGTAGAGCTGCCTGCAGGGAGTGTGGGTACTTAGTGAGTGAATGTCTCCCCCACTTCACCTCTGCTACCTGTTAGAGCAGAGACAAGCTGTGGGAGCTGTTCTAGAAACAACCTAGAGTCAGTTCATCTGGACCAATGGTTTTCAAATCTCCTGGACTCCATCACACTCGAAATGAACCCCTTTACAAAAACCAGATATAAGAAACAGAATAATGAAGAGCTCTGCTGTTTAAAATAAGAGCTCTGCTCCTTCCAAGCCCTTGGATTTGAAAACCACTGCACCAGACCAAGATCTCTGCCAGCCCCAGAGGGCCCACCAGGTCACCTTTTTCAATCCATCAATCTTTCCTTCCAACTGGCCATATATTGTCAGTCTGTCCAGCATTTGGATTTTTTTCCTCTTTGTATCCCCACATCTAATGTAGGAGGTTCTCTTGGAAGTCATGGGCACAAAGATAAAGGGTAAAGAAAGAAGTGCGAAGTGTGGGCAGAAAGGCAGTGGTTAAAGATCTGAAGTAAGGAAAAAAGTGTTGGCTCAGAATTGGAATTTTCAAAAGAGGGTGAAGTCAGCAGAGATGGGTCATTTGCTTTGACCAAAGTGATTAAAGGAGAAAAAAAATCTGTGAGCTGAGTGGAATGATGTCAGCCAGAGAAAAAGGGAAGGTGGGTAGGGGAGGCGGAAGATGGGTAGAGGAGGCTCCCATCTGCTGTGTGGTGGTGAACTGAGCCTGCGTGTTTCATGCAAATGGCAGGCTGGTCGTAGAGTGTTGCAAGGAAACAGGTAAAATATGAAGGTATGGATAAAGCAGCTGATGATGGGAAACAGGCAAACAGCCCTCAGTTCCTGTGTGCACTGGGATAAGCTTGGCAGGCTTATCTCCAACCAAGAGAATGTTGTTGTTGTTGTTGTTGTTGTTGTTGTTGTTGTTAGGTGCCGGCAAGTGGATTCCGACCCATAGCGACCCTGTAGAGGGTTTCCAAGGAGAAGCTGGTGAGCTCGAACCGCCGACCTTGCAGTCTGACACATTAGCCCACAGCGCCACACCAGGACTCTAGAAGCTAATGTATCAGAGCACAGATTTAAACAGTGGTATGAAGTGTAGTTGAAACAACCAAAAACAACTCTCTGTCTCCCCAAGTGCTCACACCTTCTCCACTTCTTGCCACCCTTCAAATATCTCCTATCATCTTGCAGTCATGTCAGAGTTAGCTCCTCTTGGGGTGGACACACCCCTCCCTAGAGCAACGTCAGGACTAGAGTTTGCCCAGTCCATTGGGCAAAAACAGCTGGCAGCAGATACTAGGTGGTCATTCAGGCAGCAGCTGGACAATGGATGCCCAATATGCAGCCCCGGCAGGTCCTTAAGCAGGAGGGTCCTCAAAGCCAGGCTCAGATGATGGTGTAGTGCAGTAAGTGAGCACCCGTGAAGACTGATGGCCAGACACAGGGTCCAGCTGAAGGGTTGACGATCCAGAACAGAGGTAGGGGATCTGAAAAGAGCAAGACAGTGCCTTGACTCAGAGGGGCTTGGATTCTGGGCAAGTTGCCAAGAGCAAAAAGCAATCAGGGCTTTAGGAAGTGGATTCAGTGGTGGCCCAGCCCCACTACTCTGGCACCAGGCTGGTATCATGTTAAGTCCAGAGTGTGGGGCTGTTGTTGTGAGTTGCTGTCAAGTCAGTTCCAACCCATAACGACCCTGTATAGGGTTTCCACGGAGCAGCTGGTGAGCTTGAATCACCAACCTCGTGGTTCAAACTGAGTTTACAATCCAGTGCATTAGCCCACAGTGCCACACCAGGAACTGGAGGTGGTGGTGTGCCATGGAGTCGGTTCCAACTCATAGCAACCCTGTACAGGGTTTCCAAGGCTATAAATCTTTACGGGAGCAGAAAGCCTCATCTTTCCCCCATGGAATGGTTAGTCGTTTTGAGCTTCTGACCTTGAGGTTAGCAGCTGACTCATAACCACTACACTACCAGAGCTCCTTACACCAGGAGCTAGAGCTTTTTAAATCCTATCCACCTGAGGGCTCTGGTTAAGATTGGACCTAAATACGTACCATGTGTCAGTCATGGAGAGAGGTCTGGGAAGACTTCACAAGACAAGGAAAGGAAGGATGGGAATGAGACCAAGAATCTGGAGGACTAGAAACCTCTCCAAAAAATGAAGAGGTAAATTCAAAGGAGAAGAAAGAGAAGGGAAAGGAAGGAAAGAACAAATGATTCCTAGATGATGCTGCAGATAACAGGAGAGGAGGGATAAACTGGTAACTTTCCACTTTATACTCAGCTCTGGTGTTGCTCTTGTTACGTACCATCAAGTTGGTTCTAACTCATAGCAACCCTGTATAGGCTTTCTGAGGAGCAGCTGACGGGTTTGAATTGTTGACCTTGCGGTTCGCCATTCAGTGCTGACCCACAGAGCCACACCAGCAGCTCTAGTTTAACTTCTGTGAGCCCTCCTAGGACTCCTGCCTCTGAATGATTTTCTAAGAACCCTGACTTGCTTGGGTTCCCCCTCCTCTGAGTAATTTCCTAAGGATTCCAACCCTCCCAGCTCTCCCTTCTTGGGATACTACTCTGAGGACCTTCCCTGCCATTTCCTGAAACTCTTTGACCTGCTCCCCTGAGAAACTGCCTCCTCTCCCAGCCTAGCTGCTCTAAGCAATTCCCAGGGTAAAGAAAGCTTCTTGGGTCTCAGTTTCTCCCAGTCAGCCAAGAAAAAGGAAACATCAGAGTTTAGGGAAGAGTGGGATTTCCCCCAACAAACATTCCTACCAGTTCCTTCAAATGCCCCAACCCAGGCTCCTGACACACTGGCTGCTCCACCTCAGCTCTCAGAAAGCTTTGAGTTAGGTTTTATCAGCAGTGGAGGCCTTCAAAGAGTTCATTACCCTCCTCCATCCTTTTGTGCTAAATTATATTTAGTCCTGCCAGAGGGATTTCTGGATTGCCATAAATTCTCCTTGCTATCAGAACAAGATAAGGCATTGAAAAGGGGTCACATAGAGGGCGGACATCAAAGGGGGCAAGTAAAATTGTCTGAACTCACCTCCACCTTCTGAATTCCTCCTTGTAGTAGCTTTCTGACCCTTGTCTTTACTAATATTTAGGATATTGATCAACATTCTTGGAGTATTAGTATTATAGAACCTTACTCACAGCCAGCCAAAATGAACGTGTGCCTTTGTTAACTTCTTTAAAATAGGACTATATTTGAAGTGTATTGGAGTGCCATCTCTTGGATTCTGACTCATGGCAAGCTCATGTGTGTCAGTGTAGAACTGTATACACTTCATTGGGTTTTCAAGTCTGTAATCTTTTGGGCGGAGGTCATCAGGCTTTTTTTCCAAGGCACTGCAGGGTGGGTTTAACTGTGTGCACTCCTTCTTTAATGAATTGATGAGAGGGCATGGAGAGGCAACAGTAGAGAGGCTTCCCTCCATGGTTGTTGTGGTCTCATTACTCAGAAGGCTGCAAGGCTCTTAGCTTCTTAGAAGGAAGCAAGTGTTTAAGGAGTGGGAGCTGCTACAGGAGTTTTGATGCTATAGTCTTCCCATGTTTCATGGAAGGAAGCTGTCAGGGTCTGGTCTGGTGTTTGATTCGGACACTTTTGCCCCATTGGGAGAAAATTAGTGACCGACGAGAGAGGAAGATTAAATTCTCAGGATACAGGGGAGTAAGGCCTATTAATTCCATTTCTAGAGTAGTCAGGGGCAAATTCTTATGGGCTTGGGCTCCTTGTGGGGCACCTGTGGACTAAATTAAATTGTGGCATCAGGGAGTACCTGCCCTGATGCTCTGGCCACTAAGCTGCAAAGTTCAAAACAAAGGACAAGGTGTTGGGAAGGACCAGAGTGCCTGAAACAGAAGGAGCCCTAGAGAATGCTTAGACCAGCACTGGCTAACTGGTAGCCTGAGAGGCAATACTCCCTACCTCATTCCCTAGTCATGGTAGACATGGATACCACCTCGGAATCCTTCTTAACACAGTACCCTAGGAAGTGAGGCAGTACCCCAGTACAAACTGACCAGAGGAGTGAGGTGAACCCTATTTATCGTCTCTGATTGGAACGAACTTCACATGTGCCAGACAGAAATATGGGCTTCGAAAAATTCAGTGATTTTCCCTCAGTCACAGTCTGGGAAAGTTAGGGAGAAGGTCATAGGGAGTAAAGAAGAAAGGGAGTCAGCGTCAGGCCTGACTCAGCCATGTTCCTCTTCCCTGTCCTACTCCTTCCCTCTCCAGGTGCTTCATGGAATGCCACTGGATTGGAGTGGATGCATCCATCATAAGGCAGGCTTCCTAGTAGCAAGATTCTATTGTACTTTGGTACATCTTCTGAAAGGAACCCTGGTAACACAATAGTTAAGCACTTAGCTGCTAACTGTAAGGTTGGCAGTTCAGACCTACCCAGTGGTTCCACAGGACAAAGGTCTGGCAATCTAATCCCATAAAGACTGCATCCTAAAATACTCTATGGGACAGTTATACTCTGTCATATATCGGTTCACTAGAAGTCAAAAATTAGCACAGTGGTACCCAACAATAACAACAACATATGTTTTTCATAATTTTCCTTCTACTTCTAAATACATCCTCTTTAGAAGCTAGGATGATGAAACTTCATCCCTCATACGTTGGACATATTATCAGGAGGGACCAGTCCCTAGAGAAGGACATTATGTTGGGTAAAGTGGAGGGTCAGTGCAAAAGAAGGAGACCACAAATTAGAGGATGGTGGCCAGTCTTAACAAAACATTCATACTATTTTCAATAATGAACTATACCGAAAGCTCCTTTTAAATAGAATTTGTTTTATAAAAGATTCATCAACATGCATCACTTCTAGAATGTGTTCATTGTGCCAATCAAGATCCATTCAAAATGTGAAACCCTGGCTCTAAATTATACTGATTTGTGGTTGTGAGATGACGGTTGTGAGTCCGTTTGACCCATAGCAACCTTGTATAGGGTTTCTGAGGAGCGACCGGTGAGCTTCGACCTCCAAACTTGTGATTCAAACTGACTTTTCAGTCCAACTCATTTACCCACAGTGCCACACCAGGAAATTATGCTGATTGTATCATAGCAATAATGCATCATAGTAATAAGTTGTGTAAAGCTATGCTTATCTTTTCACTGTCTCACATGTGAGGAAAATGAAGCTTGAGGTATGCAAATGACTGGTCTAAGAGCACTTGGAAAGTTAGAAATAGAAGCAGGATAAAACCCTTGTCCTCTGATTGCAGATGCTTCCTCCCAGGGGAAGAACAGAAGTTGAATGTGCCAGGTCTTGTTTGTTGGTCCATTAGGCTTGGCTCCACGTGCACATCTTAACATATGCCCCCAACTTGATTTAGTGCTTGGCCTTGTTAACTTAGCATTCTTGTTCTCTGCTGTATTCCCAAGTGCCTACTATGTAATATTTAAGATGCAGTGGTTAAGTGCTCAGCTGTTAACAGAAAAATCAGTGGTTCAAACCTACCAGCTGCTTCACAGGAGAAAAGACCTGACCATCTGCTCTCATAGACTGTTGTTGTTGTTCGATGCCGTTGAGTCAGTTCCAACTCATAGTCACCCCATATACAGCAGAAGGAAACATTGTCTGGTTCTGCACCATCCTCACAACTATTGTCATGTGTGAGCCCATTCTTGTAGTCACTGTGTCAACCTAGCTCATTGAGGGTCTTCCTCTTTTTTGATGACCATCCACTTTGCTTAGCATGATGCCCTTTTCCAGGGACTGGTCCCTCTGGATAACATGTCCAAAGTTTATGAGATGAATTTTCACCATCCTGACTTCCAAGGAGCATTCTAGCTGCACTACTTCCAAAATATTGGGACTCTCAATATTTTTTGCTATCATAATTCAAGTGTATCCATTCTTCCCTGATGCTCATTCATTGTCCAGTTTTAGCATGCATATAAAATTATCGAAAATACTATGGCTTGGGTCAGGACCACATTAGTCTTCAAAGTGACAGCTTTGTTTTTTAATATTTTAAAGAGGTCTTTTGCAGCAGATTTGCCTAATGCAAAATGACATTTGATTTCTTGACTGCTGTTTCCATGAGTGTTGATTGTGGATCCAAGTAAAATTGTACATCCCATAAGATTACTGCCTAAGATCTCCTATGGGGTCATTTTACTCTATCATATAAAGTCACTGTGAGTCAGAATTGACTTGATTGCATACAATAATAACATAATATTTACTTAGTCATTGTTATTGAATGAATGAATTTTCCCCAGGAAAACTCCACACAAAGCTAGAAGAAGGAGTTAGTTACCTGTGGTGGTGGTGAGCTGTGAAGTTTTTTCCGACCCACAGTGCCCCTATATAGGGTTTCTGAGGCTGTAAATCTTTACGGGAACAGAAAGCCTCATCTTTCTCCCACAGAACCGCTGGTAGTTTCAAACTGCTGACTTTGAGATTAGCAGCCCAACTCATAACCACTATGCTACCAGAGTTCCTTTAGTCACTGTAATATTGACAATTTACATGTTTCATGGGGTATAGTTCCCCTTTCATCACTACCAGGCGGTGTGAAGAACCTTGGGAGACTGGTGGAAGGTGAGACCTGTAATTCCATAGAGGGAACAGACTTAGTAAGCTGGCTGGCAGGTTCACAGGTAGCCTTGTAAGTCCTTGAGGGAAAAAGTAGACCCCAATATGGAAGAGGCAGAAAACATTTAAGTAAAGCTGCCACATCATAACACAGTGGTTCTCAATGAAGGACAATTGTGCACTGTAGGTAATTTTACCATTTTTAGAGAGATTTTTAATTGTCACACTGGGTGAGGACTGCTACTGGCATCAAGTGGACAGGAGCCAAGGATGCAACTGAACATCCTCCAGTGCACAGAGCAGCTTCCCACAGCACAGAATTATCAAGTCAGAAATGTCAGTAGTGGTAAGGTTGACAAACCCTGCAAATACCATCAGGAACTAGGTTGACTGAATCATTTATCATTCCTATGTGAGCATTTTAAGAGTAAAATGTGTATCATTAGTAAGTACTCTGGGACGGTGGGTATAACCTGGACTCACCTGGGTAAACCTAGACATGTGGTCACTATCTCAAGTCTCTTGGTGAGGGAGAGTCTTGCTGGGTCTCTGCCTGACAAGGAGTGATGGAAGAACTATTCACAAGGGACTGTGGCTGTTAGCATGTGGGATACATGGGAGAAACTCACCAGGCCTGGTGAGACCTCCAAAATCAGAAGATTTGCATTTCTGATATAAGGAAGAGGCTAATCAAGGGACTTCTGGTGTGACGCTGTGGATCAGCACTGGACTGTCAACCACAAGATTGGCAGTTCAAACCCACCAGCTGCTCTTCAGAAACCCTATACAGGATCACTATGAGTTGGAAACGACTCGACAGCACTTAACAACAACAACAATTGAGTCTTTACAGAGATGCCTTAGTGTCACCAAGGCTAGGATTTTACCACAGAATAGTCACCTTCCTTAAAGTTAAAATGAGGATACCTGTTTCGGTGGAAATGGTTCTTTTGGGGAATGGAAACTACAGATGTGTAGGTCATGGTCATGTGTTAATGCTAAAAGTCCCTTGCCCTACTTTCTTCTAGGTCAGAGATAGCCAATACATTTCTTGTCCCTTGTGAATCTGATGGATTGTAGCCACCTAGAAGGCCAGGTGGAGATGTATGGCTCAGTAGAACAGAGAATGGTGATTGATTAACAATGTCTGTCACAGGCCCCAGAAAGGACAGAGATGGGTCAGTGGGCCACGCCCATGCCATCCTCTTGTGGGACTAAGGTTTTTGGTCTTCTCAGAGCCAGGACCTGAAATTGATGTGACCTGAGTCAAGTGGCTTCTAATGTGTTTATTTAAACACATTAGTCTAGCTGTGCTAGAAAGGGCTTTGAACCTGTTCAGCTGTGGTCAACGAAGCAAAATTAGAAAAACAAAAAACAAAAAGCAAATCACACACACACAAATCTTCAAAATGTGGGTGAAGCAGAACAATCACCAGAATGGAGGAAATGATATTCCAGGTTGAAGCCCTGGAATAGGAGACTCTGAAGGGGCACAGTGAGTCCTTGCAGGAGCCTGATGTGGGACTGTGGGTTACTATCAGGACTATGGAGAGCAGCACACATAGAAAACAGTGCAGGTGGCTGCCATCTTTGAGCCAAGCACTGCAATTTCCAGTTCTGTTAAGAGATTTGTTTGCTATCCAGTGTGTACTCTGCCCTTGTTTTCTGAGAGGAAGATTAGGTTTCTAGTAGACATCAACTCATAACTTTTCACATTCCAGGTATCATTCCACAAGTTCAATCCATTCCATTTTTGGTTCTTCCAGAAAGAACCAGTTGAAAGCCCAGATGCTAGGTGCTGTAGGGGATAATGAAGACCAGGAAGACGTATCCCCTAGCCTCTAGTAACATGGCATTTTTCTGAGTGAATAAGATTCACATAAACAAAAGCATTGGGGGACAGTGAACAATACATGACTTCAGTGGCAAGTGTTCCTTGTATGGGGAAGCTTCTCTCCTGTGGTGTGACGGTATTAAGTGCCATGGAGTTTGTTCTGACACATAACAACCCTGAATAGAGTTTCCAGGAGTGGCTGGTGGGTTTAAACTGCTGACCTTGTGGTTAGCAGTCAGATGCTTATCCTAAAGCTCCACACCAGGACTCTTCTGTCCTGTGGAAGACCAGACAAAGGAAAGGAAGAGGGAGGAAGGAAGAGGTGGGTTTGGAGACTGGCTTTGATGAGCATATAAATGGCATGAGGACAGACTTGCCAAGCCTTTGTGGAGCAAGACAGAAAGTACAGGAACCTACCCTGTCTCAACTGATGTCCCTTTTCTGTATTTTTCCAGGCCGTGAGATGGTGGGGTCCACGCTGCCTGGATACCCACCCCACATCCCCACCAGTGGACAGGGCAGCTATGCCTCTTCTGCCATCGCAGGCATGGTGGCAGGTAAGAGGAGGGACTGGGCAGGACAGGGGAACATTGCAAAGGGAAAGTACTGGAGAAAGTTGGAACAAGAGGGGGCAAGATGTAGGGTGTGTCTTATGCTTGGACTTCCTGAGGGGCATGGAAGGGTAGACTAAAGGCTACAACTTCTTGTAAATACCTGGAGAAAGGTTCTCATCTTTCCCCAACATGGTCTCCTCCAGTTGAGGGAGTAGCATGGGGTCTGACAGGCCTTTTGCATTGATTCCTTGAGCATTGCTGAAGAATGCCCGAATCAGGTCAACAAAACAACTGTGAGCCGCATCTAAACTCACCCTTAAGCAGTCTGCGGTCTCACCATTATTTAATTTTGTTTCTTCTTCTATAAAATATGAATGATGATGATGATGATTACAATATATGCCCTTTCCCACCCCTCACTCATGCAGCCCTGTAAAAGGAGAACCCAGCTTCTAATTGAGTATGAGATGAGCTGGGAGGATTTCTTCATCCTCATTTGCACTGTCCTGGGAAACTTGCCTGTTGGTCATTCAGGTTTCTTTGTCTGTTGCTGTGATCATCACCCAAAGGGGACTCAGGGTATTAAGGTCTGGACAAGTGAGGAGAACAATGGGAATTTCTTTGGACAAGTCCCACTCTTTTAGGAACCATAAAGAAAGGACACATGGATGGGTTATGTTGAGCCATCATATTGAGCCATTTTCATTGCCCAGAGAGGACTGGGACTTGGTGCTTCTGAAAGGGGCTCTGTGATACTCATGCCAACCCTGGGCCAGCCTTCCTGGCTCTGACCCCAAGACATAGCACATTCACCCAGCCTGATACCCTCCCTCCCTGAGAGGGGTTAATCTTTGCCAGCCACCCACCCTAGGTGCCCTAGGTTGAGGCAGGTGGGCTGGGTTCTACTGGGCAAGGAGAGGGGAGAGAGAGAGAGGGAGGGAAGGAGGCTGTGCACTCCCTGGGAACCTGCTGAGCTGGCACTTGTTGCTGCCTGGTTACCGTGGAGATGTGCTTAATGCAGTGTTGAAAATACAGAATACTGACTCCTCTCTCCCTCCTGGCCCCAGACTCCCTCCCTCCCTCCCGTCCTCTTCTGGAGCGTGAAATGAGATTGGTCAAGATAAAAAAGGAAAAGATTCGGTTATTTTTTTAAGAGTGTGGATAATGGGGCCTCTCAATCAAAATCCCAGGCTTCAGTCGCTCCCCCATCCCCCTTCCAACCTCTCCACCTTCCCCTGCTTCCCTGCTCAGAGGAGGAAGAAACATAAAACACTGGGCTTCTCTCTTAATTATAAGCCATTCCTCCAGACAAGCCCAGGGCAAGGGGGTCCTGAGGCCCATAGTGTAACCTGTGAGGTAGCTTGAAGGTCTAGGCCTCTTATCAAAAGCACCCAAATTGTTTCTAGAAACACCTCATCCTAAGAAAATGCTGTGGAAAAAATGGCACCGCTACTTTTTGCCTAACAAGGTGGATGGACTCCCAATAGGTTGCTTGCAAATCAGCAAATGTAATACTATTTAAATGCATCACCTGGTTCCTCAGAACTCTACCGTGCAAATGATTTCTTAAGGGATTTTTTTTCTGTAGACAAATTATTTGTTCATCTGTTACCACTGCTTATGATCTCCCAGTTGACTGAATGACAGTTTCTTCCATTCAAATCAATGAGCATTTGTTGTACACCACTTTTTGCTCCACCACCTCCTCCAACAGTTGCCCTGAAGTCAACTTAGACTCCTGAGGATCCCGTGTGTGTCATAGTTGAAATGTGCTCCATGAGTTGTCAGTGGCCGATTTTTCAGAAGTAGATCACTTTTGAGGTACCCTTGGGTAGATTCAAACCTTTAACCTTTCAGTTAGCAGCTGAGTGTTCTCTGCTTTGTGCTAGATACTTACCAAATGCATAAAGAATAGCATGCCAATGACATTCTTCAATCAGTTGTGGAAGGAAGGAAGCATTAATTTATTATGCACATCTGTGTGCTCAGTCATTCAATAGAACCATTCACGCATATAACTTTATTTCTCATTTAATTCTCACCATAAGCCTGAGAGGTTGGTAGTATTCCAGTTTTATAGATAAGAAAACTGAGATTTAAAAAAGAAAAGTGTTTTCAGAGTCATAATGAGACTAAGTTAGTCAAGCACAGGTCTTTTGATTGCAAATCTAGGTTTCTTTCCACTACACATACTACCTCCCACCATGCTGGAAAAAGGATACAAGTTAGTAGAGAATGGCACAAGAACAAGGCCAAGATAAAGTTTTCCCTTGTCCATTGTCACCTTCTGTTTTGCTCTCTCATTTTTTGGTTCCTGAGCCATTAGCAGAGTTAATGACTCTCAACAAAGTTCTAAAACAGAATCACCATCCATGCATCTTTCTATCCTTTCATCTATTCATCCATTCATCATTCTTTTTTTTTTTTCATACATTGGTGTGTCTTCCTGTTGATCCATCTATCCTTCCATCATCCACCTTCCCTTTTAGCTATCCACTCATCCTTATACTCATGCTTCCATCAATCATCGTTCTTACCTTTTTTATCCATTCATCCTCTATGATCCATTATTCCAGCCACGCATCCATCCCTCCATTCATCTGTCCATCCATATACCCATAAGTCCTTCCATCCATTCACCCTTCCATAATTCATCCTTCCATTCTTCCTCTTAGCACCCATCCATTTATCTCACTTCTCACTTAACAACTGCTAGTTGAGGATCTACTGCATGAGATGCTAGAATTACAATAGGGAATAAGATGGGTTCCTCTATTGATGAGGTTTACAACTTAATAGTGGAAAGAAATTGATAAGCAAGATACTTTGAGATAATAAGCACTGTGAAGGCAATAAAATGGATGATATAATGAAGAGCCAAAAGGAGAGAAGATCACTAGATTGAGTGATTAAGGGAGGCCTCTCTGAGGTGTTCAGTACGGTCAGTCAAGTGATAAACTGGGTCAGATCATCCCTGCCCAGAAAGAACAGCAAGTGCAAAGGCCCTTAGGCAGGAACTAGGTGAGCATGATAGCACACAGAAGGTGAGTCTTCTGGAGAATGGTGAGTGAGATATCAATAGTGGCTGGAAAAAAATGAATTGAGAGTCAAGAAAGGAAGCTTAAGACCAGTTAACAGGCAATTGCAGTGATGCAGTTAACAGGCAATGGCAGTGATACAAGAGATGGCAGTGACTTGGACTGGGCTGGTAGAAGACAAGAAGGATCATAGAAGCCCTCAGGATCCATTTGGTGGTATAGCCAAGACTTGCTGGTGAGCCAGCTGTGTAGGGATGAGGAAACAGTTGTGGGTTTAGGAAACTGCATGAATGGTTGTTGTTGTTAATTGCAGTCGAATCGATCCTGACCCATAGCGACCCTGTATAGGGTTTCTGAGGAGCAGCTGGTGAGCTTGAACCACTGACCTGGCAGTTCAAATGGCTTTGCAGTCTGGCACATTAACTCACAGCACCATACCAGGACTCCTGAATGGTAGTGGGAGACTAGAAAAGGGAGCGGTTGAATAAGTAGAGTTAGAAATCATGAGTTCTGTTTGACTGTATTAGAATTGAGAAACCCAGTTAAATTAGTCAATGTTGTTGTTGCTGTTGAGTTGGTTTCAACCTATAGCAACACTATATAGGGTTTCCAAGGAGCGGCTGGTGGATTTGAACTGCTGACCTCACAGTTCAAACTGACTGTGCAGTCTAACACCTTAGCCCACAATGCCACACCAGGACTCCTAAATTAGTCAGTAGGCTCGTGGATATGTCTGAAGTCAGGAAGAATCTTAGCTAGAGATAAAAATTTCAACCAATGCACAGAGGCATGATTTAATGCCAAGGACTTAGGCAAGATCACCAGAAAGAGAATGGGAGTAGAAAAGCACAGGTCCACTAATCAAGCCCTGAAGTTCTTCAGCATTCCGAAGTCTAGCAGAGAGGAAACCAGCACACATACACACACTAAGTAGAAAAGACCAGTGAGTTAGGAAGCAAACCAGGAGAGTGGCTGCATGAAAGCCAAGGGTACAAGGTAGTGATGAGCTGAATCCAAGTCTCCTAGGAGGTTGAATGAGTAACACAGGAGTGATTGTTGTAATGAACTGTAGGCATTTTGAAAGGATTGCTGTTGACTTGGTTAGAGTGTTGACTTGGTTGGAGGGTGATGAGAAAGTCAAGAAAGAGATCATGGAGTAGAGAAAAGGATTGCTAGCTGGAGGCAGATATAGTGGTAGGAGAGGATTTTTTAAAAAATGGAAGATCCCAGAGCATGTTTCCAGGCTGAAGGGAACAATGATTTAGAAAAGGGGAAATTAATGAAGCAGAAAAGAGGGAATAATCATATTACCAAGTCCTTAGGAGAGTGGGTGATTGGGATGCAGAGCAAAGAGGTGGTGTTCGCCTTTCTTAGGCTCAGGGACATTTAATATACTGTGGATGCACGCATGTTGACAGATCTGGTGGTGGAAAGATACCAACTCCCTGACCCATACCCCAACTTCTAGGTGTTTGAGGCACATAGGTAGTTAGTAAGTGTGTGCTAGATAACTAATAAGTGGTAAACATGTGAATGTATGAATGTGTGACAGAAAGGGAACACAAGCACATTTTTCCACCTCTCTTCTTATCTTTGAGCAGGCAGTGTTGGACATTGTGTGGGGCAGGGAACAGACACAAGGGACACTTGCTATGTAGCCAATAAAGCAAGAAACCAGTGAGCTCTGGGGTACACCAGCAGTAAAACGGAGGGTGATCCATGGCATGTAAGAGAGAGCACTGGAGTAGGAGTGGGGGGGGGGGGCGCGGGGTGGTCAGGGTTCTAGTTGAGCTGTCATTGAACATGTGACCTTTGACAGATGTCTTCTCCTCTCTGGGTAGCAGCTTCTTCATGAATGGCTGGGTTAGATAAACTCTTAGTTTTCCTTCTCTCTTTTTATTTTGCTTTGTTAGGCAGTGGTCCCTACCCCTGCGGAACTTACTTGCTCACCACCTATCACTAACTCCCTAGAAAGAGAGGGATCAAGTAGCATTCCTCTGCTTCAGGCTCCTACTTACCTCCATTTCTATTTTAGCAAGCTGCTTCAACCAGGCTTTGCCTTTGATTAGATGACAGATCTGAACCTCTGTTCAGCTTTATTTTAGCATCTACTTAATGAGAAACTAATAAAAGTTAAACGTATTGCGTGTTTATTATATATGGATTTATATCTCATTTAATCCTTGCTACAACCCAGTAAAATAAGGACAATAATTTGCCCCATTTTCCAGATGAAAAAATCAAGGCTCAGAAAGCTTAAATGTCTTGTCCAAGGTTATGCAGCTAGGAAATGCAAAATGGAGATTTGTTTCCAGGCAGTGTAGCTTCAGGATAAGGGAGTTATCAAGTCTTCCCCACATAGAGTCTGGGATGAAAACCATACGACATAGAGGGCATTTAGCTCACAATAGTAGATGAGTTTCTGAAAGACTCTGTAGACATTCATGGAATATCAGGATTGACAGGAACCTTGCTTGATAAATGGAATCATCTTTTCAGTGCATAGAGAGATTATCTGGAATTTAGAATTCAGAGCCCAATATCAAGGCCTACACTGCCACTTAGCAACATTGTGATTTGAGGTAAACTGCTTAATACTGTTGCAACCATTTCCTCCTCTATAAACTGGCAGTGTCGATGAGCACTCCATAGGATAGGTGTGAGAAGAAAGAGGCATGATGCCTGTGAAAGTGCTTTGCAAACTTATGCTCATATCAATGCATTTGTGGTGACAATAGCTAACATTGTTACTATTTAAACGAATCCTGTTGTAAGTCCTTTGGCAAAGCCAATGATCCTCTCACTGATGGAGATAATCTAATGGGCTTTTTGTAAAGTCTTGTACTGAGTTTGCTTAAAGCAGTGGATTCAGGATGGGACAGCAAATTTCTCAAAATCCAGGGCAGAGCCTCCCCCAAAGCATGAGTAGTTGGTGCCCTCCCAGGTCCCTCCTCCTCTCCTCTCCGTAATCACTAGCACCCCCCCCCCCCACATACACACACACACACTTTCACACAGGTACACACATGCATTTCTCCACAAACCCATGCTTAGGAGACTAAATGATGCATACATGCACACATACCAAATGACATTGAATCAATTCTGACTCCCAGTAATTTGACACTCCCGGTGTCAGAGTAGAACTGTATTCCATAGGGTTCAATGGCTAATTTGTAAATTTTTCAGAAGTAGATTAGCAGGCACCTTCGGAGGCACATCTGGGTATAACCTCCATCCTTTGGGTTATCAGCCAAGAACATAAACTATTTGCATCACCCATGGACTCTCCATCCATGCATATATGTATACATACATAACAGATTTTTCTTTGACATCCACAACTCCTCTCCAGTGGTGCTGGTGGTGGTTGTGTGCCATGGAGTTAGTTCCGAGTCATAGCAACCCTGCATGGAGGTCTGAGGCTGTAACCTTTCATGGGAACAGAAAGCCTCATCTTTCTCTCTTGGAACTGCTGGTAGTTTCAAACTGCTCACCTTGAGGTTAGCAGCCCGACTTGTAACCTGTGGCATCTCCCAAAAAGGACTTTCTATAGAAGACCCAGGCAACAATAGAAGTAGCAGTTGGAAGCTGGGCCCCAATCACAGCACAGCTTTCAGACTGCACTGAACTGTGTGACCTTCTGAAGATCCTTGAGCCTCAGTGTCTGTGTCAGGAAATGGAGACAATAATCTCCATACCTCCTGGGGATCCTGTGGGGAGCGCTGCATGTCAGGGGAAGTACAGCATCACCCTAAATGATGCAAGTTCAGGGGCTCCCAAAGGAAGGATGAAGGAACCTGGTGAACGCTACTGTCCCCCTGGTATTTGGGTCCCCAGGTGCCCCCCTACCAACTACCCAATACCCAATACCAACCCTGCAGAACCTTCCCAGCCCCCAGCCCCACAGTAGTGCCTACCGCCTCATGGTTCTCTTCCCTTCCCTCCTGTGCCTCCAACAGGAAGTGACTACTCTGGCAATGCCTACAGCCACACCCCCTACTCCTCCTACAGCGAGGCCTGGCGCTTCCCCAACTCCAGCTTGCTGAGTAAGTCACCTCTGGGGCCATGAAGGCCCTCTGCTGTGTGGGGTGTGTTGGGTGTGCAACAGTGTGTCTGTAAGTTCAGAGGCCCAAAGTTGCCATTAGTTTTCAAATGCAGTGTGTCTCTGTGCATATAATGTGCATAGGAAACTAACATCAAACCCTTATAGTGCCTGTTCTTTGTGTAAAAATATGGGAGATAACGGGCTTGAGGAGACAGGTGATGTTTGTAGAGGCCAAGAAGGGTGAGGGAGGACCATGTACCTGATTAGTTGTATGGAAGAGGGCAGAGAGGGATTTCCCTGCAGCCATCTCCCTCCTCCTACCCAAGTTCAAGTCTTTTAAGTTTTTGTTTTCTGTGAGATTCTGAGCTCAGGGTGAAGAAAGGATCTCCTGCCCTCAGGGACTTACAAGCTAAAACCATCCTACACTGACAAAGAGGTGCCTGTAGACATGCCAGCTGCCTTTCTTCCTGAGAGGCCCCCAATGCCAAGAATGCCATCCTTTCACCCATGTTTATCATCTAAATGGTTCAGTATCAAAATCTGTACACAGAAATCTTTGTATTACCACATTCCCTGATATTTGCTTTGAAAGAAGTAGACAACATTTAGTAGTGAGATCCAGAGAGTTAGCTACAAGGCCACTCTTAACCCCTCTCTGACCCTGGGACACAAGGTTGGGTAGGTAAGTTTTTTAGGAAACCAAGTCCCCAGAAAGGGAGGCTTGAAGAATCACACTCACATAATGATGGCCCTGGGGGCTCAGAGTTAACCTGAAGTCAGAGAGCCTCCATGGTGCAAGTATGGCCTGCTCTGCTGGATACCCTCTCAGGTCCGGCAGGACCACCAGTCCCTAAGAGTCTCCCCTCCTACTACTACCCCCTGGAGTATTCCAGAAATGACTGGGATGATGGCTGACCCAGGCTCTGGTGCCAGATGAGTCCCACTCCAAGGGATGTGCTGAAGCGTCAGGACGTTGTTCTGCCCACCCTTCTGGGTGTCAGTGTTGTCCTGGGCCTCTCACTCTCTGACTTCCTTCAACAGTTAGAATTCACACCCCTGGGCCTTAAGATGAAGAGGCTCTGACCTCGTCCTATAGGTGAGGTTGAAGAGGATCCAGATGATCCCCCCAGTATGCCTGGGCCCCCACAGTTCCAGATGCAATGCATTCAATTGCCCTCCTCTTGCAATGAGGGTGTTGAAGGTCAAAACAGTCATCAAGGGAGGGGGCAGAGAAGCAACTGCTTTCATTCTGGCCAGAAACTCAAAGGTGAGGCTAGAGAAGGAGGAAATAAGGCCCAAGAGGAGTTAATCTTTGATGATCAGATAGGCCAGAGGGATAAATGATTAACTTGCGCTGTCTTAAAGGTCAGCAGATGCAGGGAAAACTATGGTGCAATTTCCCTTTCTGACCAGCACTGTTGTTGTTATTTTTGTGTAACGTGTCCAGGTTCCCCATATTATTACAGTTCCACATCAAGGCCAAGTGCACCGCCCACCACCGCCACGGCCTTTGACCATCTGTAGTTGCCATGGGGACAGTGGGAGCGACTGAGCAACAGGAGGACTCGGCCTGGGACAGGCCCCAGAGAGTCGCACAAAGGAATCTTTATTTATTACATGAAAAATAACCACAAGTCCAGCATTGAGGCTCACTCCCCATGTGGTTAATTTAATGAACCATGAAAGACACAGTGACCTTGAAGAAGGCCTAACTGTTCTCTGAGACTCCTTACTGAGGGACAGGAGTCCCAGGGACAGAGAACCATCTCATAAAGGAAGAAGCAAACTCGAGAAGAGCCTGTGACCACCAGTGGCTTCCCATCAAAGGAGAGAAGAGGGAACAGCTGGGTGATCTTGAGGGGGGATGGGGCCTGAAGGGTGAATAGTGGTGCCTCCTGACTCTGTCTTCAACACTACTTTAGCAAATGTGGGCTGTAAGCACTCTCATCCCACCCGCAAGCCATAGGTCAGTGCAGACACGCTCTCCCCCAGCAACCCTGACAGCTCCCTCAGCCTCACCCCCCTGTCCACAGCCTCTACTCACTGTGTTTGGTTCTTCCTAGGCCTCCCTTTGAGTATGGGCTGAGGGCTGAGTCTGGTCAATCAGAAACTCTACCTGGTTGCCAACTGACCTTTCTTTGCTTGTTGCTGTGAATGTACAAGCACCACCCCACGTTTTCATCCAATGGAGCCTCCCTTTGGGAGCCGCCATTCTCTGGATCAGCCTAAAACGGCTTGGGATCTACAGACATTCCAAAGGGCCCCTGGCTCCTGGGATGGTGTGAGGTGCCCCTGTGCCCAGGGCAAGGTGGATTGCTGGGGACCCACTTCCCTTTCCTAACAGCTTCTCCTAAGCTAATGTAGTGTGCTTCCTGCAGTCCAAGCCCACCATGTCTGAAGAAACCCTGAGGGTAAGCCCTTGAAACCAACAGTGGAGGTTCCCGTTTGAGAGACCCACAGCCCCTGCTTCCATACCTGACTGTAAATACTGTAAATGAAGCTCTGTTGGGGCCAAGCTTCCCTCTCTTCATCCCCTAGACTCTGACCTCCAAGTGAATCGTTGTCACCCTGCCATGTCAGCCTTCTCTCCTCAATGTGTCTTTCTTTTTTTAAAAGACAACTCACCATGGCCACATGACTCAATAAACCATTCTTCTTCATCTCTGACTTTGAGGTTGACTGGGAAGGAAGCACCTTGGTGTTGGGCTTTCTCTGGAGGACCTGAGAGCCATGGGTTGTGGCTTAGAGAAACACAAACCTTGCTGTTGAGTCGACTGGACTCATGAGAAGACCCCATGTGTGTCAGAGCAGAACTGTGGTCCAGAGGGTTGTCAAGAGCTGAGTTTTGATAAGTAGGTTCCCAGGCCTTTCTTCTAACGGGGCTCTGGATAAATTCAAACCTCCAACCTTTTGATCGCCTAAACCATTGTGTCACTCAGGGACTCCGGTAGGTTGATGCCCAAGACTCCTGACTTAGCACTCTCCCTCTGCCCTTAATAGATGGATAGTGCTGGGTTTCCTCACAACCAAGCAAATGGGAGGCTAAAATGAACAAATGGTACACGCTGGTCAGTCACAGACTCCTCACAAATAGTGCTCTTACTATCAACAGGAAACCAGCGTCAACTGGGAGGGGTGGCAAAAGAACTGAGACTGGTTCTTGACTAGAATCCACATGAACAGTGTATGAACACATCTTTTATATACCAGGAACAATGTGGAAGGCTTTACATAAATTAAATCAGGATTAGCCCTATTTTACATATGAGAAAACTGAGGCTCAGAAAAATGAAATGACTTCCCAAGATACAAAGTAATAGATTCAACCAAACTTTTTATGCCAAGTTCAGCCCTTTCAGCCAATACCACGGGATCCTCATCTGGATCCAAGAGAGGTTCCAGGGTCTTCTAAAGATTGGCATGACTGAGCAATGGAGAGGCACAGGGTGGCAGGGCATGAAGGGAGGGAGGGATGAGAGTGCACAGGAGCTTAGGAACACCTCCTTAAAGGAATTTGGGAGTGCAAGGCTCTGCCCTTACATGGTGCTTGGCCCACGAAGGGCTAACTGGGGTCTGCTTGAACCCTCTCCTTGTGAGACTCTGCTGTAAAGAGGGCCAGAGGTCTGCAGCTTCTATGCCCAAGTTAATGGTGACAAAGGAGTAGGTGAGTGGACAGTAGCCAGGGGCAGAGTCAGGTGAAGATTTCTCACTCACCCAGGAAGAAAGGCAGAGAGATGGGCGCTAGCTTCTTAGTCCCCAAAGGGGAGACCGGGCCCACTCACGCTCACCAGTAATATAGTATGAGGAGAGTCATGGTGGCGCTCCCATGAAGAAAACCGTTCCCATCTCTTCTGAGTGGAATCTGAGATGGTTTAGTTTTCAATCACAGGACTTCCCTTTAGCTATGAGCATGACAGCAGGATCCTGAATTTCATTATATCTGAGGCTCCTCATGCTTCCGGACCTCTTGAAACCTGAACCCTAAGGCAACCTACCCACCTAGTTTGGGGGCCACAGTTAACCACACACACACACATTAGTTATCTTAAGATGCATGGTGTCCACGGATGGCGATTGCACAGCTTAAATTCGAATATAAAAACCCTCCCCCTACAGCATGCCCCTGACTGACCGGCACCAACCCTGGTTCAGAACTTACCTTCCCTTATCTGAGTGAGCTGACACCCTAGGCTGCTCTCAGTATGTGGTGGTCCCAAGTCCATGGGTCCCTCTTTGGAGCTTGGAATATATAGTCATCTATGACTCTTGTAGCATAAGCACTACACTGCTAACTGCAACATGGCAGCTCAAACCCACCAGTGCTCCTTGTAAACCTGATACAGGGGGTCGCTATGAATCAGAACTGACTCAAGGACAGTTACCTTGTTGAAAAAGAGAGACAATTGGAGATACCCCAGCATGGGGCCTCAGCATGGGGTGGAGGGGTACTGTGGGAGAAATTGGGTGGCACATAAGGAGGCACTGGAGTCGGGGGTGGGGGTGTCAGAAGAAAGGGAGGACACGCAGGAGGACAGACCACAGAGGTCACTGGGATGGGGAGGGGGAAATGTGGCTGAGTGTGAAGTGAGGAGAGCCTGCTGCACCTGATGCATTACCATGACATCTGGGTCCACGCTCCCCTGTGCTGCTCACCTTGTGGTCCTGGAACAATCCCTTCCACTGTCTTACAGAGACTTCCATTAGCTTCCCAGCAGTCAGCTCTTCCTTCAGCCTGCCTTACACTCCTAGCCAGGGGACAGCAGAGGGCGTGAGGAGCTCACAGGAAACCTGTGGAGCAGGCAGCCCCCCCCAGGACAGTGGGGTTCTTGATGGAACACAGAGCAAGGCCACCTCTTCCTGAGGGCCGCTAAGTTAGGAGATCCTGTCTTTGTAAGGCTGGTTGAAGCTGCTGTGACCCTCAGGTCTTGGAGGTTTCTCCACCTCCAAATCCAGTCCCCAGACTAGTTCCAGTTCCTCTGGCCCCACCGGCTTCTCTCACTTCTCTAATGTACTTGCCATAAGTGGTTGTGAAAGCACGTGTTTTCTTCCCACCACTTGCCAGGCACACACTCTAGCCTCCCAGCAACTTCACACAAGTGAAATTTGTGACCACAGATTAGAAAGTTGAGAAACTTGTTAACATTTCCCCATTTCCACCTGTTCTCATCTTCCTCCTGCCTTCTCCACACAGATGCACACATTTTCTATACACACACTCAATTAAAGCAGTTACCATTGACTTAGCTTTGCCTCACAGCGATCCTGTGTGGTCAGTGTTAAAAAACAGGGTTTTCAGTGGCTGATTTTTTGAAAGTAGATTGCCAGGCATTTCTTCTAAGGTCCCTCAGCGGACTGAAACCTCCAACCTTTCAGTTAGCAGCCAAGGGTGTTAACCATTTGTACCATCCAGGGACTCCTCATAAAAATATAAGTCCTCTTTAAGGTACTTCATAACGTCATTGACCTTTGCGGATAGTTGTAGGAAGAGGGGACAGGAGACTCACCTCACACCCATAGTTGGTGGGTCTCTGCTTCAGCTTCAGCCCTGCTCAATCCTAGACAGATGGAGGTCTGGGCAGAAGGAGGGAACCACTTCTTCCTTCACCCAAGAATTGTCCTCCCTGTCCTCTCTTCTCAGGATCTAGATTAACACTTCACAAAGCCTTCATTTCTTTCTGTTTCCAAAATCCATTCACATCAAGTTTGGTCTCTGATGCTGAACACCAGCTCTACTTTATAGTTAGAGATACTGAGGTAGAAATCTGACTTGTTGAAGACCCCCTAGCTAGTCCACAGAAAAGCTAGGACCACAGCTGAAATCCAGACCAGAAGCCTCAACTACGGGGATGTGACCATGCTTCTATAGAGACACCCAGGCACTCTTTGCTGTGTGGAGAGGGACTAGAGTTACTTGCCATTCCAGCTGAGGGTACTGCCACACACTCCCAACTTGGTGAGGCACCCCTGGATGAAAGTTCCTTAAGGATAAGGAGGAAAGCTGGGGCAGGACTGAGGGGTGCCAGGCTGAGACCCAATTCTCCCGCACCCATGTCCTTAAATTCCTCCTTAAACCACCCCTTGGCAGTGCCCTCTGACCTTGAAGGTCCTAAAGTACTTCACTCTGTAGGGGAGCAAATTGCTCTTCTGCTTCAAGTCCCTGTATCACTTCTTCCTGACAAGCAAACCAACCTGACTGGTGAGAGACTGCTTCCCACAAAAGCCTCTCTCTCTCTCCTTCCTTTTTCATTTTGGTCTCTCTTAGTTTCTTATTCCAGTCCTCTCTTCTGTTAAACCTCATGCAATGATTCCTATCCTCACAGTTGGAGAGACCTTTCGGTCTCCAGGGCTGTGGATCCTTGAAAGACAAACTCAATGTTCCGGGAAGGTCTCTAGTGAGCAGACAGTAGCGTCTACATTTTAAAAACCACCAGCCAGAAAGACTTTCTCCTCCTTTCCATCTCCCTCCCCCTTTGGCTTTTCAGTCTTCTCACTTCTTTCTTTATGGCGCTATGGGGAGTCCGGGACACGGGTACACACACTG